TATGCAGTCCTGTGAGTTCACCTGCCATCTTAACAAGTGGCTCTCTAAGTTTTGTTTCCAGCCTGAACTCGCCTCCGAACTCCAGACATGGGTGTAAATTCAGCTTCCATCTTGGATGTTTACTAGGCATTTCAAACTTCCATAGCCAAGAAAGGACTATTCACTCCCCATCTAGCCCCACCCACATCTCTCCCCTCAAAAAACCTTCCCCAGCACAGGAGAAAGTACCCAAGCATCCCATTACCCAAGGCAAACTCCCAGGGGTTGTCCTCGACCCTCATTTCCCCTTGCCCTCCATACCCAGTGCATCAGCGGTTCCTAGTGGACCCACCTCCAAAGCCCATCCCCTGCTGTGAGCCTGGTCCACTCTACCAGCACTTCTCCAAGGACCCCTGCCAGCTCCGCCTCCTGCCCTCTCTACACGCACTCCCAACTGTCCTCCAGGCAGCCTCTTGATGTAGATTCAGGTCACATCCCTCTTTGAAACCCTCCAGTGGCATCTGACTCACTCAGAATCAAACACAAACTGTGGGCCCAGGTCCCCGGGCCACCCCACGCGTTCCCTGCCCCCTCTGTGCACAGCATATGCCTGACACACTTCTCTTTTCTGTCCCTCAACCTTTGTTCCTATCGGTGCTGCTGCTCTGAACAATTTTCCTCCTCCTTTTCCCCAACTTGGATTCAATTCAAATGCTCCCTCTACAGAGCAGTCTTCCCATATCCCCATGGAAAAAGTGCCCTGTTTCATTTTCCCATTGAAGTTTCTCTGTGCATGTGTTTGTTCCTGGACTAGCCGCTCCTGAGGACCAGGAACTCTGTCTTATTCACTGACATGCCCCAAGGCCTAGAATGGGAAATATTATTGACAAGAGACTGAATAAGATAACTTTTCTAGTAAAGGTGTAGAGTTAGTAGAGCATGTTGGTGTGGAAAGAGCTAGAGTTTCAGAATCCAGAAAATTCTCATGCTCACACTTGCTAACTTGAATAACAAGTTACTTAGCAACTCTGGGCTCCAGCGTTCCCTTTTAGAAGAGGCAGAGATTACAGCAAACATACCAGCTGCTATAAGGACAGTGCCTGCCACATAGGAGGTGCTCTGGGTAGGCAGGTTGGTCAAGTGGACCTACCTGGTTCCCACTCCAGTGCCCTCTCTGTCATCCCAGGATGGTAATGGAGAGACGTGGGGGTGAATCGAAGAGCTAGGGCAAGGGAGGGGTGTGAAAGAAGGTTCTGGAGCTGTTGCAGCACCCCAGAGAGGGTCTGTGCTGATTCTTTTGAGGTGACAGTGTAAGCATGGTCACATTGGAGGAAGTGAGCACTCTGCATGGCCGTCTGGCGGACTGAGGAAGCTAGCATATTTTGAGGCTCTGGGCGGCCTGTTTCTGGTGAGCAAGAAACCTTTCCTTTTAGCCGAGATCCAGGCATCCTCAGCTCCCCGCCAGGCCCTCTCATTTCTTCTCCTCTCGAGCTGTAGCGGATAAGGCCTTCCCACTGCCTGATTTCCCTAAACCATGGCCCAGAGACCATTAGACATGTAGACATTGGGCCAAGGATGAGGTGAAGAAATAGGAGGTAGGTAGAGCCCAACCCTGGCCTGTACACAAAGCTTTCATTATGTGAACGGCCAGTAGCATCCAAATTGTATTTACTCAACATGGCAACGGCATGGGGGAAGTTCCAAGCCATCTAGACACAGGGACTCCTCAGTTCTCAGAAGAAAGTCCCATAGAAATGGAAAGTAAACAGCAGAGGTGATTTTCTCCTGGCCTTGGCATAGTCAGAAAGGAACTCCAGGCATGGTTTCTGAGCTAGCTGGCATGGCACAGCTGGAGTGGTGGCAGGGTGGGCTTGCCAAGAGAGACCAGGCCCGGGAGAATGGAGTAGAGGCCCTGAAATCTATAGAAACAGGTATGAACTACAGCAGCACACAAACAGGGATGAGTCCAACACAAACAGGGATGAGTCCAGGAAACAGATTTAAGATACGGAGAATGGCCCAGGAAGAAAGAACAAGCTGAGGTCAAAGTAGTGACCAAGACCCAGAGAGTGGATGCTGGCAGGGAGAGACCCACAACTAGGTGTGGTCCACAGGGGTCAGTGTGGGGGCTGTTGGTGGCCCTGGGAGCAGGTGCCCAGGCCCTGACACCAGCAGGCCAGGCTGAAGGGGAGGAGGAAAAAAGGCCAGCAGTAGATGAACACGGCGTAGGTTTCAGGCTATGTTGCTAAGGACCTTATGAACATCACAGGAACAGAGAAAGAACATTTAATGCTGGGGGGCTGAGGGATCTCAGGAAAATCTGGGAGTAGGGAGGGACACTGAAGGCCTTTTCAGAACTAAGAACATAGTCGAGAATATGGCCTTAATATGGAGAGAAAGACTCTGGTCCAGAGCTGAGGTGGCATGGATTGAACCCACTGGAGGAGGTTAGTAGCTGTACCTGCCAGCATTACAAGGCAGAAATTCAGCCCAACAGGCTGAGTCACCAGCCCCCCACCCCACCCCAGACCACGCTTCCTCCGATTTACCTCCACGACCCAGTGGCTCATGATGTTGCGATTTGTGTAGCACATTTACACTTTTCAAAAGCTCTCACAGACAGCACTTCTTCACTGATGCCCACTGATGGGTCATCAGGAGTTGCAGTCAAATGTTTCACAGTTTATCCTATTTGGCTTCTCCTGTGTGACTCTAGCCAAGTTACTCACTCTCTCTGGGTTTTACTGTGCCCAGTGGGAAGAAGGCAGTAACCAACCAGTCTTCAACAACACGGGGAAGCATCTGCAGAGAGGCTGGTGGTAAGGGGATTTGCCAGGCTTAAGCAAGCTCTGGAGTCCTTAGACAGACCCAAGAAAATCCATTCACTGGGCTCCAGGAAAACAAACTCAGACATATTATCATCTTTCCTTCAACCCAGCTTTTAAGCTCTAAATGCTTCCATAAGCCTCATAGTTCTCTCACTTTGAGCCCCTTGCCAAGCCCAGTTTTGGGACAGGGAAGTTTGGGAGGAGTTTTTGATTCCTATACAGTTCTATTTTTAACTGGAATAGACCTTCCTGCACCGCCAGTGATCGGCGCCTTGAATCTGAGGTCAAGTGCACCGTCAGCAGGACCCAAGCAATAAATAGCCATAGGCAGGGAGACTGACCTGTGATGTGGGCAGGAAATTAGACAGATGGACAAAATGATCAGCCCAGCGTCTTTGCCAGCTACGGCTCCATTAACCACACACTGTCCCTAAAGCCTCAGTGTTGTTCCAGGAGGACAAGGACCACTGCCCAACATGTCAAGTGTGAGGCCAGACAGGTGCAGGTCTTGTGATCCCTGAACTAACCAGAGTGGGGCAGCAGAATCCCTGGCTCTGGGAAATCTGGTGTCTTGAATAGAAGTGAACTCTTTTATATCTTCATGCAGAGTCAGCATTTGGTGCTTAGGCTGGAACGGAGATGAGCTTGAATTAAAATTGGCTGCAGGAAAGAGGCACCTGTCATTTCCTCCAGGACAGCCATTCTCAGATCAGAAGATTCAAGGTCTTGGCAGTGCTTTCACATCTCTAGACAAAGCCTTCTTCTGGAAGCTTTGTCCCCATTTGCTTAACGTCACTGCCAGAGGTTGGCAGGATATGGGGAGGGGATCCATCCCTCCCTTGCTCCAAGGGGACAGCATCATAGAATAACCAATGGCATTCACTTTGGAGGGCGCACCTGAAGAAGAAAGCTTGGTGACATTGTTAGCATAAAAAAAAAGGGGGGCCATGGAACTGAGTGAGTGTGTGTGTGTGGGGGGGGCTGCACAGCGGTGCTGGTGGGGTGGTGGGGAGCATGTCCTGTCTTTTAGGCCATGAGGCCCGTCAGAGGCAGAGATGGACTTTCTCAAACTGCTGCCAGATCCTCCCAGTATCAGCCTAGATGTGAGAAGTGGTAGAAGGAGTGCTCAGTCCCAGCAAGAAATGCCATCATTAAGGTGACAAAAGCCAAAAGCCTAATGTCTCTAGGACTGGAGATATAAAAGAACATTATTAAAACCAAGTGGTTGTATATCCCCCAAGTAACAAGGCAGAAGCAAGGTGGCCATTTCTAGCATCACTGACTCGGTGACGAATGGTGCATAGGAGTGAACAATGTCCTGGGGTGCATCTTGGCCTCTTCAGGGAACCGGGAGGCACCTTGTTGAGGGCATGGCCACAGTAAACTGATGACTTTGAACTGAGATTCCCCTGCTGGTAACAATCACAGCCATTTTTCTCAAGCTCTTGCAATGAGCCAGGCCTTGCCTCAGCACTTTGGATATATAGTAAATCACTTAATTCATGAAATAACCATGTAAATGATGTGCTACAGTGATCTCTGTCAAGGCTAAAAAAGCCATTTGCCCTGGGCCCCAAAGCTAGGAAGAGATGGAGCAAGTCAGTGGTTGAACCCGGGCCATCTGGCTCCTACTCACTAGGCTATCAGCTCTTCTGTCATTTATTTGTTCATTCACAGATACTCACTGAACACTTCTTTGCCCAAGGCTCTCAATTAAGTAGGGAAGACAGGTCACATATATGTGTCAAAAGTTCAATAAAGGGCATTTGCTCACCTAATTTCCTACCCATAAAGGCCTCTCTCTCATTTCGCCAGCCCTTGCTGTTCGAAGGTGCTGAATAAGGGAAGGAGACTTGTCCGCTGTTGCTGATACAGCCCTTTTCCAGTAGGGTCTTTGGGGAATGAAAATCTGGCCTGTCCTGCCTCCATAATCCCCAGGCACCCCTCCAAGACAGGACTAAGTTTTATTTGTCTCAGGTTCCCAGAGCCACACCTAGGGCCGAGCACATTATAGACATTCACTAAATGTGGTTGACAGGTGATTCTGAATGCAGGAGCCTAGTTGTCACAGCCTTCCTTTCCTTCCCGTAGCCACAAAGCAAGTGCCTTGCACGGCACCTGGTACCTGCCATAAAGAAGAGCTGAGTGAACGTTTGCTGATTAACTAACTGTTGCTCCTCCTTGATTTGCCAGGAAAGGCCGGCAGAGGCCAACGCCAATGTGGACAACTCCGCGTCCCCCTCAGTGGCCCAGCTGGCTGGACGGTTTCGGGAGCAGGCAGCTGGAGCCAAGGAGGTGAGTTGGGAGGCTTGTGAGCATCTGCGTCTGGGAGGGGCTGGAGCCAGGGAAGTCTGGGTCTGGCCCAGAGGAGGGGGAGGGAGAAGGCTTGATAATTACCAAATTAGGAAGAGGAGCCAGAGAGGGGTCCCTCTGCATGCCAGGAATGTCCCACTGCTTCCGTGCCTATGCTGGTTCCCCCTCTGGCAAGGAGGGATGGGCAGAGAGCTGAAAGGCCTGCCCGTCAGAGAGGGAGTTTGGATTCATTTTCATCCGGATGCATCCTCCCGATACAGACTTAGATCTTGCACAGCTGCACCAGGCCTCAACTGGTTCAGCAGAAAGAGGTCCCCACACCCACTGCTGCCCTTCAGCCTGGAATCAGGAGCAAGGCAAGACTGGGCCAGATTCCAAATTGAGAAAGGGAGGACCTGAAGGGAAGCGCATTTGGATGGGAAACCAGGGATCAGGAAGGAAAAGGGCTGCAGTGACCAACAGGGGAAAGATTGAAAAGGCTTAGAGGGATTTGGGCTAGATTTTCTGGAGTCATCCAGTGAGAGGAGCCCATCTGAAGTGAGAGGAGGGGCGAGGATCCCAGGGTGGAGGAAGGTCAATCATGGCCCCTTGCCTTGTTTCTTAGGTGCACTATTTTACACTTTTTTTTTCCTCATCTAAAAAATCAGCTTTATATAATTGGTAGCCACTATAGGGATGTCATAAAGGATAAAGAAGATAGCATTGATCTAAGGTCCTGGCACTGCCCAAAAGCTGAATGTCAATATCGTTTTGAGATGTTAGTTTAATGACTCTCAACTAAAAGAGGATGTTCTAGCAGGAAAGGAATAAGAGAGGAGAGTCAGAAAGTCAAAATGAATAGTTAAATAGAACTAATTTAAATAGTAAGTAGGCAGTTCCAAAGACATACAATCCTCTCTCTCCATTCTTAAACATTCCTAAAATTCCCTAAACATCCCTCAACATTCCTAAATCCCTAAACATTTCTAAATCCAGCTTCCATTTCCTTTCTTTTCCTCCCTGTTGCCTGATTAGCTCTTTCTCTTTTTCTCTCTGTGTGTCCGTCTGTGACCTCCCTCTAGACGCCAGCCTGTAAACCAGCAAGAAGGAAACCGCCCTGTTCCCTCCCCCTGTTCCCCCCCAAGGTAGAGCTGGGCCAGAATGGTGAGGAGGTAAGTGCTGTTGCTGCTGGGGCTCAGAGGACGCTGGTTATGGGTTTTCTTCCTCCTTTTTGTCGGAAGGAGTCCCAAACTCACACTTTTAGACCTCAGAATCTGTGTAGGGGATTTCTCCATCTCAGATTCAAGGAGGAATCTCTTCTTAAATGCTCCCTGAATACTTTGCTTTGGAGACTAGGCTTCTCCTTAATCTCTCCTACTGAGCCTATTGTATGATTTGTCTGGGACAGAAACACCATTTTTCAAGCCTGGGAATTTCAGCAAAAAAAAAAAAAAAAAAAGGACCCTATATTAAGAACAGACCAGATTCAGGAGCCAGGGAAGTTATGTTTTATTCCTAGTTCTAACTTGGATGACCTTGGAACAAGGAAGGAAAAAGGCACCTGGAAAGAGGGGCTACATCCACATAGAGCAGAATTATACCCTAAGAGTTCTCGAGGTCCCACGGTGTCCTTGTGAAGGCTGGCTATTGTTCAGGATCACTGGAAGAAAACCAGAGCACACAGGAGGCCTCATTGCCCTCAGATATAAATAGAAAATGTTACCAACATAATCAAGGCTCTGGTGTCATGGATCACAGCCACTAATAGGCTCCCAGACTGCACATTCACCTATCCTTATTTATCTCAGAGTAGCTGTGAGAGTAAGTTCTCCACACCCTGTCTCAGCATCCCAGGAACCTTCACGGTGGTCATGATCTGTGCCAGAAATGAATTTGCATGTTCTATCATCCAGCCTGGGAGGCCAACCCCCAAATAGAGCAAGCAAGCCAAAGACACACAGTGCAGTGCCCAAATCCTGCTTCGACTACCTCTTTTTTTCTCCCCTCTTTTTAGGGGCCCAGCATATTGACAACAGACACCAGGTACCTATGTGAACTTAGGCAAACCTCTTGGCCCAAGCCTTTTCTCATCGAATAAGTGAAACAAGTAGATCATCAGTTTTTGAACCTTTTTGTCAATCCAAAGCTTATAAGCAGAAACTCATAGCTGCTTCTGGTCAAGTGACATGGGGAAGGGTAGATCTGGAGTCCCATTTGCTCCTAGAATACCCCACCCTACTTCACCCCCGTCCACACCAAACAACGGTCTTATTCTGGGATGAGAACTCCAAGGAATACACATGTGAAACACTGAGTGTTTTGTTTGGTCTCTTCAAGTGCTAACAGTATGATTTGAGGCTTCACGGGGTTATGCACCAAATAAATACCAACAACTTCTCCTTACAGAGGATCAACTTCTCCTTGTAACCCTCATCCTCTGGGCTTGGCGCCTCTGCAACTGTGTATCAGGCTGAGGCCATGGCCATTCAGAGCTTAATGTGAGGCTGCCCCCTGATAACCCTGGCTTGGTCCAAAGTCCCTGTACCATACTGAACTTGTTTCCTTATTTGCAAAGTGTGATCTAACTGGATAGATAGATCATAGAGGCTAGGTGGGGGAAGTTTTATTCCCTGGAATAAAACAGTGAGTTTGGTTAGTGGCAAATGGATTAAACAGTTTCATTTCGGTGGCCCTGTGGAAATACATTTACACGTTTTATCGCACGTGGTGCACAAATACATGCATACATACATAAGAGCGTAAGGCTGTTTTTTTTCTCGGTGCAACGACAGTGTTAGTCCCAGCCTCACGCCTGAAGCCCCTTGTTAAGCCATAAAGGAAACGCTGCCACCTGCTGCCAGTTCTAGGAACTGCATGAACGGCATCAACGGCTATTTTTCGTTGTTTCTGTTTTGCAGTTGAAATGAGTTAAGAGCTGCCTGCTGGTACTGGTCTGCGGCCTGTTAGGAACTGGGCTACACAGCAGGAGGTGAGGGGTGAGTGAGCAAGCGAGGCTTCATCTGTATGTACAGCCTCTTTCCATTGCTCACATCACCACTGAGCTCCGCCTCCTGTCTGATCAGTGCTGGCACTAGATTCTCATAGGAATGCAAACTCTACTGTAAACTGCACATGCGAACAATCTAGGTGGATCTAGGTTGCACGCTCCCATGAAGCTGGTCCATGTCTTCAGTGGAACTGGTCCCTGGTGCCAAAAAGCCTGCTGAATAAGGATTCTCTGGAGCATCTGCTGGGTCCCCAGTACCGTCCTATGCTTAAGGGGCAGTGTCTGTTGATTTTCTGCTGCCTTCAAAAGCCAGTGGTCCGGTGGGGAAGGGAAGAGTTTTTAGTGTTACGTAAAGTGAAATTTTACCAGTAAAATTGATGCAGTTACTAAAATAGTATCTTCAAAAACCCCAGCCCATGTAAAATTTTGCTATAAAGCACAAAAACTAGAGACAACCCAGCTGGGGCTGGAGGCTCTTTGTACTCACCACAGACAAAAGGCTCCTTAAAGACTGCTCTAGGGGCAGACTCACTGGCTCCCACCTGGAATCCTAACACTCTGGGAGACTAAGACAGAAGGATTGGAGGATCACTTGAGTTCAGGAATTCGAGACCAGCAAGACCCTATCTCTACTAAAAATAGAAAAATTAGCCAAGTGTTGTGGCGAGCACCTGTCAGGAGGCTGAGGCAGGAGGATTACTTGAACCCAGGAGTTTGAGGATGCTATGAGCTAGACTGATGCCATGGCACTCTAATTTGGGCAACAGAATGAGAATTTGTTTTAAAAAAAAAAAAAAAAGAAAGAAAGAAATAATGCTCTGGGAATGTGTCTGAAAGTGACTATGTCTCACACAGGCTGGAAGAGTCCCTAGAACCATTTTCTCTACCCCACTTGTATCTTGGAAGAGGAGGCTCAAACCAGGAGCATCAATCTGGCTCCTGCAAAAGCAAGAATTAGAATGTGAAGGGGTCTCCTGAGTCCCAGTCCATGCTCTTAGGGCTTGGAAAGTTCACAAGGAGTTCAGTTGAGTGAGTCTCCTTCCTTCCATCACTAAAATGCAATCATCTCACTCAACAAATACTCCAGAATATTTCTGAGACCAGTGTAATTCTTTGTCTTATGATTCAGGTAAAATTAGTCCCTGGGGGCAAGGGGCAAGTGGTACATGTTGGTCGCTAAGCTGAAGGAAAATCTCCCCTCTGCCTTACCTTTTGTCCAAAAACACCAACAGCATCTTCCCCTTTTTCTTCATCATCATCATGTCATTGTCATCATTCTCACATGGTTGTGAAGACTTTATATAGAACCAGGAGTCAACCTTTAGATAATAGGGAACCTTGAGGCAGACGAGATTCCTGACATACATTCATCACAAAAATATCTCCAACTGAGCATACGTGTGGTTATCTAGCACACGTGTCAGCCACTGGCCAACTGCTTTTAGAGGGAAGTGACCAAATTATATTCATCCTTACATAACCCACACGATGCCTGGAATGTACTAGATACCAGGTGTTTGCTGATTAAAACAAATATTCAATGTTTTGGGAGATAGTAATTTATAAGTAATGCCATTGGTGGTGGGATTTTCCAGAATATCATTAGTTCAGAGGAGGAATTTCAATAGTACCTCTGTCGGGTTTCACTCTTGGCCTGTGGTTTCTTGTTTTGTTTGTGTGAAACAGAAGGTCATTTCTGCCTTTTATCTTTGAAATTCCCTCCAGTTGTTGATTCACAGTGTTGAAGGTCATGAGATGAAGGTCTCACCCTCCACACACCTTTCCTTCAGAATGATTACAAGGTCATTCTTCTTGGGAGAGGAGGCCTTTGGGAAGCCATTACTTGAGGGATATCTGCCCTGGCCTCTGACACATAGATGCCAGTGGCCTTGCCATGGTGAGAGGAGGTGAGAGAGAGGAGCCCACCTTGCCCAGGCCTGTGAGCTGGGTGGACTATGTGATGAGGGGGTGAAGCCAACTTCTCCTCTTCTCCTTCCACCTGTGACTTCTGGGCTCCAACCAGAACTTTACCTCACTGGTTTTGGTTCATTTGCTCTGCAGAAATCGCCCAACACCAGCCACCCTCCTAAAATCAAAGTGAAGAGCTCGCCTCTGATTGAAAAGCTTCAGGTAAGTGCAGAATCCCTTACCTGTTGCTACCTTTTATGCAACTCTGAGCAAGAGAGACCCCATCTCTACTAAAAATAGAAAATAAGCCAGGCCTGGTGGCAGGCACCTGTAGTTCCAGCTACTTGGGAGGCTGAGGTAGAAGAATCACTTGAGGTTGCTGTGAACTAGGCTGACATTGCACTCTAGCCTGGGAACAGAGTGAGATTCTATCTAAAAAAAAAAGAGAATCCCTGATTCTGTCCTGGCTGTAGGGAGGGAGTAGTGCTGGTCATCACCCTAGGAGGCTTCAGGCCTCCCCTAGACAAAACTGGGAGCTCTAGAAAGAAATTTCTTTCTAGAGCTAGCTGAGGGGTGCAGCCCAGGGCCCTAATCCCTGCTTCCCTATAGCCCACGACATCCCTCATTCAGGGGCCAGAAATCAGGTCCCAAATGTCCTGTACCCCGTAGTTTTAGTCTCATTCCCCTTTCCAGTCATTATTGAGCCTTTTGGGGAAACACAACAACTTCAGAATGAGGTTTGGGTGTCTAATTATCTAATCTCATTAAGAATGTCAGCAACAGTATGACGATTTTGCCAAATTCCATGGGACCCTTATTGAGTTGGGAATATGTAGAGGAAAGAACTAAGGCATACAGCTTGGCGCCTATAGCTCAACTGGCTAAGGCGCCAGCCACGTACACCTAAGGTGGCGGGTTTGAATCCCCAGCCTGGACCCGCCAAACAACAATGACGGCTGCAACCAAAAAATAGCCGGGTGTTGTGGCAGGCGCCTGTGGTCCCAGCTACTTGGG